GTAGGAAGACATGCGGGCAGAGCAACTGTCATCCTGTGCTCAGGAAAACACAGAGGGAAAGCCTGAGCTTGTCTCTCCTCTCCTTCTCTATCCTTCCAGGCTCAGGCCTGGGGCAAGATGCCATCCACACTCCAGGTGGGGTTTCCTTTTAGTGACTTAGAGCAGAAGTGGAGGACATGGTCCACGCCAGAGGAGAGATTTACATGCTGAGAGACAAGGGAGCCAATATTGTAAACAAGGGCCAGCAAGAAAGCAGAGGCAGCTGTGCTGATCAATACCGCAGGGCTGGGGTAGGTAGGCTCAGCTGTGCTGATCTGATCAAAACTGCAGGGCTGGGGTAGCTAGGCTCAGCTGTGCTGATCAATACCGCTGAGCTGGGGTAGCTAGGCTCAGCTTTGCAGTGTGCTGATCTGATCAATACTGCAGGATCAGGGTAGCTAGGCTCAGCTTTGCAGTGTGCTGATCTGATCAATACTGCAGGGCTGGGGTTTGGTGGGTTTAAGTTGCTCATGCATAACAGAACACATGACTGGGATGGTTATATGAAAAATGTCCAGGCCTGTAAACAGTGTGTGTTAGTTGACACAAACCTAGATATATCTATATATCTAGGGACTCTTAATTGAGCAAATGCCTTGAGGAGATCAGCCTGTAGGCACGTGTCTGGGGCATTCTCTTATTAGTGATTGATGTAAGAGGGCCGGGCTCCTGTGGTTAGTGTCACCTGTGTTCAGCCTGGCGGTCCTGCGCTGTATAAGAACGCGGGTTGAGCAAGCCATGGAGAAAGCAGTAAGCAGCTCCCTCCTATGGCCTCTGCATCAGTCCCTGCCTTGAGTTCCGCCTGACTTCTGTTAGTAATGGGCTGTGACCCACAAGGGGACATAAACCCTGCCCTTCCCAATTGGTCATGATTTTTTATCACAGAGATCGAAAGCAAATCGAAGAGCAGTGCAAGGAATATGAAATAAAGTAATTTTAGGTCCCAGTAAATTGACAGAAATAATTATAACTTGCGGGTATAGCAGTTAACTCCAGTGGGAAACACAAGGCACATTCTAGAGGCGTCGGTGGGTCAAAAGGTGTGAGAGGGGCTAGGTGAGCACCCAGGGGGCTAGGTGAGCACGCAGGAGTGAAGAATAAGGCTGATGTGTTAACACCTCATGGCTAAAGGGAGTAGGACTCGAACCCTTGAAGCACAGCTGCAGAGGATGTGGGCCCAGGAGTGCGGGAACCTGTGCAGGAAGATGGGATGCCGGCAGAATCAAGTGGGGCTCTTCTCTCTGGAACTGGCCAGCACCTCCAGTTAGCTGAACCCAACCACACCATGAAGGCAAGAGCTAGCTGCTGTGCACAAGGGCTGTCATGAGTGTCCACAGATAATCCAGCCATTGCATTACACATTTATTCCAGAGGGTCAGCTGACATGCAGTGTGGACAGCTGACAGGCATGCAGTGTGAACAGCTGACAGGCATGCAGTGTGAACAGCTGACAGACATGCAGTGTGGACAGCTGACAGGCATGCAGTGTGGACAGCTGACAGACATGCAGTGTGGACAGCTGACAGACATGCAGTGTGAATCAGCTGACAGACATGCAGTGTGGACAGCTGACAGACATGCAGTGTGGACAGCTGACAGGCATGCAGTGTGGACAGCTGACAGGCATGCAGTGTGGACAGCTGACAGACATGCAGTGTGGACAGCTGACAGGCATGCAGTGTGGACAGCTGACAGGCATGCAGTGTGGACAGCTGACAGACATGCAGTGTGAATCAGCTGACAGACATGCAGTGTGGAGCTCTCTCCACGCCCTCATCTGACAATTTTCACTTTGAAAAACAAGCCACAGGTATGGAAGTGAAATCTGTGCTGTTGTGTAATTTTTTATAATAACCAACATGTGTGAATGAATGAAAGCAAACCACATTAAAAACTAGCAGGAAGGGATTAACTAAAAATTATTTGTAATTTTAAAAATGTGGACCTCAGACTAATTCAAAAAATAGATTCAAGCATGATGCTGCATTGAAATGACTGAAATGATACATGCTTTTCCAGTGAGAGGCCAGGCAGAGACAGCACATGAGAGTACTTTATGGAGAACAATCGTAGGTCAGTAATATATGCAAACAGACTGAAACTTTGAAAACACGTACATAAAAAAAAAATCATTTGATGCGATGTTATTTTGAGCCACTTCCAACCTTTGCTTTTAGTAAAGAGGCAATAACGGTAAATTTTAAAACTGGGTAAAGAAAACACTACTAGTCTTTTTTTTTTTCTGTTTTCTTTTGTTTCCTGATAAGCTTTTCAAGGTTTTAGCAATAAGAGAGTTGTCCTCCACTCTTGGCTGCTCTCAGTAGGACTAGTGCAGGATGTAAAGTGAGGATGTCCTTACTCAGTGTCTTGGAGAGGAATAGGTCCCCGTGGTTTGGCAACACAGACTTTTCATTGCCCAGGTTTTGAGTGGAGCCTTATCTAGGTAACTTCCATTACTCTGCTAACGGTGCTTTGCCACTGCCAGTTCCAAGCAAAACGCAGCAAAATGTACAGTAAGTCTAGCGAGAGGTCCCACACCCCACTGCCTGAGCTGTGCCTGGGCAAAGGTCCCGTGGGCTGATGTGTGCTGGTCTGCCACTTGTTTGACAAATGGGCAGATTTAGCCCATCAGAAACATTCGATGTTCGGAAGAGGCCAAAAGAAGTAAAATCCTAAGCGATGTCTGTCCCGGGGAAATCGGCTTGATATTATTAGTTCTGGGGCCATGTGAGAATTTAATCCTTAGCATGGCCCACAGATAGAGCCTAACCTAAAGTTGAGCAGATGAAAGTAAGAGTCATATACAGGAATGAAGGGGTCACACTTTTAAATTCCGGAGAGTGAAGTTGTTCCCTACCCTCTGGTCCAGGATGTGCATCATCTCTTTGTCTAGCCTCTGCAGGGTACACTGCGCACCTGTTAGTGACATCATAGGCCTCTTGCTATTAGATCAACTGTCAGAGTACTGCAGTGACTGTGTCCAGGCAATCCTTGATTTACTCAATCAGGGATCCAAAACAAGAGTGATGGGAAGCTCATGTATGCCATCAAGGATCTGTGTGGTGCCTTCTTGTCAGGAGATGAGAGAGAGAGAGAGAGAGAGAGAGAGAGAGAGAGAGAGAGGAGAAAGAAGAAAACATTAACTTATATTCATATTGTAATGTAATTTAAAAATTTATGTTATTAATCTATTTCTGTGCCACATTTGTGGATTAAATTTTGTCATAGCTGTGTGTGTGTGTGTGCATGTGTGTATGTATATGTGTATGATGAAAACATGGATATAGGATTTGGTATTTTGCAGTCACGGGTATAACCTCTGTGAATAGGAGATGGATTTCTGTGAACATCTTGTTCATGCAGTAGCTGTTACTTGCTGGGACAATGTCAAAATTCCATAATTAGACATAATTTATTCCCTTTAACTAAATCATACAATTCTCCCCAGTAGCCTGACGATGTTAGTTATACCGAAACCTGTTTTGTTCTGAGAGCGTTACATCAGTGTGTGTCGTTTATGGAGGAAGCCATGGAAAGGGGCTTAGGACTTAAACAAACCCCGCCTTCCTCCGCTGCACACATCTAAGTCTGGTGTTAACGGTCCCGCTCTCCAAGCCAGACGCTCTGAACACATGGCTTGGGAAGTTTTCTCTTCCAGGAATCTGTGTGAAACGTTTTAGAGCGCTACCAGGTTAAACCACACTCACTTGTTCTTTGATGAAGCGCCTTACCGAAAAGTCCGAAATCACGGGAAAATTTGTGTTGCCCAAGGACGTCAGGGACACATCCCTGGCTTCTCACCCTTTGTCCATGTCTGCCTTGGTTTCCAGACTTTTCTCACCCTCCCCCTCCCCCCCGGCTTTTTCCGTCCATATTTCCTGTGTGTTTTCAATCACGACTCTCGGCTTTCGCAATTTGTCAGCCTGACATTTGGAAATACAGCTTGGCAAAAGGGCCCGGCCCGGTTTAGTGGAATGTAACGACCCGGGCAAGGGCAGCAGGGCTGTTTCCGTCCGTCCCCAGCTCCAGCACCGGTCTTACCCTCAGCCTGCCCTGCGGAGGCCCCGTGGATAAGAAAGTGTGGGAAGGAGTTAGATTTATTTCTCCGTTTCCCCCGGAATTGGTTGCTTTTCTTATTGCTGTGATCAAATGCCTGGGAAGGCACTTGGGGGCAGGGCTTACTTCAGTCTGCGGGAGGGGTAGGGGTGACAGCAGATGGGCAGACCTGTGGGGCCTGGGTTCCTCCCCTCACTCCTGGACCAAACAGGAAGCAGAGATCTCAGTGCCTGAGTCACTTCTTACAGGAAGACACTGCTTCACCGACACATCAGACCCACGGCCACAATCTGTACAAGATAGCTGTGAACACACAATTCATGTTGTCAAGTTGATAGCACGGATGTGTAGGGAAAACTTTATAGATGACAGTGTCCTGCCATAGACACATAGAAATGTTGGGCGTACCTTCATGTTATTCAAAATAGCACCACCAGCCCAGATGGACACTAAGTGATTGAACCCATGGGCCCTTAGAGGACATCCCATATGCAAATCTCAACACCTCTCAGACGGCGCCTGTGGCCTCTTCACATGGGCCCAGGTGCTTTAAGGGAAAATGTCACCATGAATTCCTGTCCTCCCTTTGTACTCAGAATGGCTCTTAACTCTTGGCTTCCTCTCAGCCAGTGGAAGTGGCATCAGAATCTGGTTTATGGACCAAGGGAGAGGTCGGCATGCAAAATAAAGAAAACAGCAAGTTAACACAGGGCCTGGAGGAACTGGAAGTCTGAATTGATAGCAGGGCTTGAAGGGGAAGCTGTCACAGACTGATGTCTTTAGTGGGTTGGGTCAGAACTCTGCATCTGACGGAGCTCCACGAAGCCCCGAACTCTCGCACAGCAGCTTTGAGAAGGTTCCACTGCTAACGTATAATGCAGAGACGTGCCTTCCTTCCTCTCCAGGTCTGTAACACCACCACAGACAGGAAACACGCAGACATCTTCCTGGAGAGATGTGTGACGGAGTCAGTCATGAACATCGTGAGCGGCTTCTTCAACTCGCCCTTTTCGGATAACAGCGCCAGCCTCCAGGTAGCCACACCAGTGCCCGGGAAACTGTAGTCTGGCTGGGATGTCCTTTCTGCCACTCGGGATGACCACTGTGTCTTGTATTACTTCACACTATGCCCTTCTGCCCTGACCACATTGATTTTAGCATTAACGTATCCACAATAAAGCAGAGTAGGGGGTTTCATGGTGCCATCTTTATGTGTACAGTACAATGGTGCCATCTTTATGTGTACAGTACATTGTTATATTTCCCCACACCTCGGCACACCCCTTTTCTTTAGGTCCCATTGTTTCTTGTGCGTTTTAGTGTGTCCCTTAGCTTTGTCGATTGTGCCTGTTCTGACTCACTTTGAAACTTAACACTTATGTGTTATTTAATGAGATTGTTGGATCACATCCGCGTCCCTGGGCCCTTCCAGCCTCCCTCCCCACTAGCGGATCTCTCCCCCAACCCAAACCTCTTAGAATCTGGTTGTTTTCCTCTGCCTATGCACGACGAGGTATTTGGTGCTGTCCGATGAGGCGCAGCTCTGCTCGCTCCTCCGGCATGCTGTGACTTAGGGATAGTGGCACAGTGACCTGGAGTGACCACTTCCCTTCTGTTTGCAGACACACCAGCCAGTCTTTATCCAGCTGCTGCAATCTGCCTTCAGAATCTACAACTGTACCTGGCCCAACCCTGCCCAGAAAGCCTCTGTGGAGTCCTGTATCAGGGCGCTGGCTGAAGTGGGTACGTAGCTAAGAGCTATGCAAGCAGCTTTCCAGTCTAGAACCTCACAAAGAAATAAAACCAGGCATTTTGTTGTTGTTGTTGTTGTTGTTGAAGTTGAAGGACAGTCAGTGTTCAGCAACTGATTCTCAACATGGCAGTTTTGGAAGAAAAGTGTATTCATATTTCCAAATTTCAAAGTAGTATTATGCTTCAGAAAATGGCTTAGTAAGATTTTGTAAGAATAGTTTAACTAATTATCTTACTTTTAATTGTGGAATCATTTATTAGTAAGAGCCCAATGTTGTTAATAACTTTTTATGGCATTAGGCATTTTTGAGCTTATTTTTTTAGCATTATAGTTTGTATGAAATCTGTGTCATTCAAAGACCTATTATACACTGAAGGCGTCAACATTATAAATGAATGAAGACAGGAAATTTAAGCTAAGGGAAAGTGAGCAAAAGAAGTCTCATAGAATCTTCCCTCTGTGCAAAGTCATGCCTGTATGTAGTTTGTTTTGTTATATATTTTTATGCATAATAGTGTGTTGGTGTGTATTATGTGTGAATGCATGCAGAGGTCAACCTTAAAGCTATTCTCTATTCCTTGTCTTCAACCTAATTTAGGACAGGGTTTCTTTGTTGTTTCCCCCTGCATGCTGGCCCAGGGCTTTTTTATTCTCTGCCTCCCACCTCACTGCAGCGGTGCTGGGATCCACTCACTGCAGGAGTGCTGATGTAATCACTGCAGGAGTGCTGATGTAATCTCTGCAGCAGTGCTGATGTAATCTCTGCAGCAGTGCTGATGTAATCACTGCAGGAGTGCTGATGTAACCACTGCATCAGTGCTGGTGTAATCACTGCAGGAATGCTGGTGTAATCACTGCAGGAGTGCTGATGTAATCTCTGCAGCAGTGCTGATGTAATCACTGCAGGAGTGCTGATGTAATTGCTGCAGCAGTGCTGGTGTAATCACTGCAGCAGAGCTGGTGTAATCACTGCAGCAGTGCTGGTGTAATCACTGCAGGAGTGCTGATGTAATCACTGCATCAGTGCTGATGTAATCACTGCAGCAGAGCTGATGTAATCACTGCAGGAGTGCTGATGTAATCACTGCAGCAGAGCTGATGTAATCACTGCAGGAGTGCTGGTGTAATCACTGCAGCAGTGCTGATGTAATCACTGCAGGAGTGCTGGTGTAATCACTGCAGGAGTGCTGGTGTAATCACTGCAGCAGTGCTGATGTAATCACTGCAGGAGTGCTGGTGTAAACACTGCAGGAGTGCTGGTGTAATCACTGCAGGAGTGCTGGTGTAATCACTGCAGCAGTGCTGGTGTAATCACTGCAGGAGTGCTGATGTAATCACTGCAGGAGTGCTGGTGTAATCACTGCAGCAGTGCTGATGTAATCACTGCAGGAGTGCTGGTGTAATCACTGCAGGAGTGCTGGTGTAATCACTGCAGGAGTGCTGATGTAATCACTGCAGCAGTGCTGATGTAATCACTGCAGGAGTGCTGGTGTAATCACTGCAGGAGTGGTGATGTAATCACTGCAGCCGTGCTGATGTAATCACTGCAGGAGTGCTGATGTAATCACTGCAGCAGTGCTGATGTAATCACTGCAGGAATGCTGGTGTAATCACTGCAACAGTGGTGATGTAATCACTGCAGGAGTGCTGATGTAATCACTGCAGGAGTGCTGATGTAATCACTGCAGGAGTGCTGGTGTAATCACTGCAGGAGTGCTGGTGTAATCACTGCAGGAGTGCTGATGTAATCTCTGCAGGAGTGCTGATGTAATCACTGCATCAGTGCTGATGTAATCACTGCATCAGTGCTGATGTAATCACTGCAGGAGTGCTGATGTAATCACTGCAGGAGTGCTGATGTAATCACTGCATCAGTGCTGGTGTAATCACTGCAGGAGTGCTGGTGTAATCACTGCAGGAGTGCTGGTGTAATCACTGCAGCAGTGCTGGTGTAATCACTGCAGGAGTGGTGATGTAATCACTGCAGCAGAGCTGATGTAATCACTGCAGGAGTGCTGATGTAATCACTGCAGCAGAGCTGATGTAATCACTGCAGGAGTGCTGGTGTAATCACTGCAGCAGTGCTGGTGTAATCACTGCAGGAGTGCTGGTGTAATCACTGCAGCAGTGCTGGTGTAATCACTGCAGCAGTGCTGGTGTAATCACTGCAGGAGTGGTGATGTAATCACTGCAGCAGAGCTGATGTAATCACTGCAGGAGTGCTGATGTAATCACTGCAGCAGAGCTGATGTAATCACTGCAGGAGTGCTGGTGTAATCACTGCAGGAGTGCTGGTGTAATCACTGCAGGAGTGCTGATGTAATCACTGCAGGAGTGCTGGTGTAATCACTGCAGGAGTGCTGGTGTAATCACTGCAGCAGAGCTGGTGTAATCACTGCAGGAGTGCTGATGTAATCACTGCAGGAGTGCTGATGTAATCACTGCAGCAGTGCTGGTGTAATCACTGCAGGAGTGCTGGTGTAATCACTGCAGCAGAGCTGATGTAATCACTGCAGGAGTGCTGGTGTAATCACTGCAGGAGTGCTGATGTAATCACTGCAGCAGAGCTGATGTAATCACTGCAGCAGAGCTGGTGTAATCACTGCAGGAGTGCTGGTGTAATCACTGCAGCAGTGCTGGTGTAATCACTGCAGGAGTGCTGGGATTACAAATGCACACCCATGCACCTGGCTTTATGTGGGTTATGGTACCGTGCCTGTATGGCAGCGGGCTTGAAGGGCTAGGGTGTCAGGATTGACAACACAGGACTCTTGCTTGATGTTAAGAAGGCTTTTTTCCCCGTTTATTTTACTCCGGGGGGGGGGGCTGGCTTATTTACCCGGCACCAGATGGAGGAGGGGGAAGCAGAGGGGAGCAGTTAGTCATCTCAGGTTCCAAGGACCGGTTAGGGCACTTTCAGGGTTGTGGAAACCAAAGGAGCATTTTGCTTTAGAAAACATGTTTTTTGTTTTCCTGTGGTTACAACTGCCTGCCCTGAGGGCAGCAGGGGGAAGTGAATTCTTAGCTGAGGTCTTAATTCCTACATTATGGAGACTAAAATTCAGGTTCTCAAGCTTATACCAAAAACACTTACACATTGAGCCATCTTCCTAGCCTTCGTGAAGATTAACGATGGATGAAGTGGAGGATAGAGAAGACATGTAGGCTTGGATGGATGGAAAATAATAATAAAAAGGAAAATAGAGAGGATATGACCATTCCTGGTGTTCTATAGTTTCATTGTGATGGTCATGGTCTTCGCCACTGCTAATGTTTATTGAGCATTCACCGTAACCAAGGACAAGCTCTTTTACACTTTAGCCTTTGATAGGTCCTTTGGTTATTTATATTTCACAATTCAGGAAGCAGTTATCTTGGCCAGGCATTTAGTATGTGCCTAATAAGTATGTGATAGACAATGAATGATTCAGCTAATTATGACCATTAAAACATTTTTAATCTTTACCTAATCTGCAGTTTGGCCTAAGAAATTTTTATAGTAACAATACTTGATGAGTACTGCAGTTAATAGTGTAAGACCCGCGGAGGGCGTGGACCCTCACGCCCCGACTCAGGAAAGGCGGCCCCCCCAAATCACTCACGAGAAGCGGTCTTGATGCAGAAGCATGAGGTTTTTTTTTATATTCCAGTGCACTGGGGTCCGCAGCCATACTCCACGTGGGGTACAGGACTGGGAACCCTGGGTACAGGGTTCAGACAGCTTTTATAGGGTTACAACAAAGCCCGCGCATTACAAACCAATCATCTCAATAGCATCCGGTGTGGACCAATCAATTTGAACTATCCAAGCCCGCACTTTGCCCAGGAAGTCTGCTTTCGCTAGGGCTTCTGGGTATGGTGGCACGGCTCATTTCCTGTTCTCATTCACTCACAGGTGCTGTCTGTAAACCCACCCTGTCGTAAACAGTCAAGAATGACCTTTTGCCTACTCACTGTTAGGGGGCAGAGTCTAGGGAAAATTGGGCTAAATTTTTCCATCCTTACAATAGTAATATAGTTTGCCTAGGAAATTACTTTTAAATAAGAATTCTACTTATAAATATGTGGAATAAACTATGAATAAAATCTGTACCCTGCTTGCTTCTTTGGCACAGAGGCCCTTGGGCCTGGGCACCCCTCTGAGGTTCTGCCCTGGATTGCCCAGCACTGAAGTTCCCTTCCCCTCCTCCCTTCCCACCTGGTGTCCTGTAAGTTTCTTCCTCAGTTTGTATGTAAGCGCTCGGGTCCTCTATCCCTCTCACAGTTCTTAAGTTAATGCATAAGTGTCTGGTGTTGTTACTGGTTCAGTAAGTGACATGTTTTCCATGCCGTGTTTATGGTTTCGCTTTGATCTGATGCTCTATCCTGGGTCACTGTTGTGTGGAGACCTTCACCTCTACTCCTGTGCCTGGCTGAACCAGGCCTCTATGACCTCTTCGCTCTCAAGCTCTGACTGTCGTGTGCATCAGCCATTCTGTTCAGGCTCGTAGCTCCTTTCCAGTGCCCTGGGCCATGGCCACTTTCCACACCGCACTCACTGTGCGGGCCCCCCCCCCCCCCGAGGTGTTCAGGACTGAGAGGCTCTGCAAGGGAAGAAACACACAGGGAGGGGGTGATCCCACACATATTGTGTAAAAGATAAAGAAAGACGTAACGGTACTCTAATCTTTATTTTAAAAGATGCACATAGCACAGTGTCCAGAGGGATTTGTGTAAAATACTAACAACTCCTCATGCTAGAGTGATCAGTGAGCCTTTTTATCTGTTCATGCTTTGACATAATTTCTGAATTTTTAATAATATATTGCTTTCCAAGTTATAATAAAATAGTAAAAGTTTTTAAAAATTTTTTTGGACCAAAGTAGGAATTATATCAATCAGTAAAATACATCATCAAAATGAAAAGCAAATAGTGTTAACTTTACAGATTATATTTCTAGATTTTACTTCCCTTCTCTCCTCTCTCCCTTTTCCTCCGGCAGCAAATGCA